CGCTCAATTATCTTATATTTCAGGTGACCCAGCTCCTCACACTCCTCTTATGACACATAAAATACCTACGACAGACGACTGCCCTGAATATGTCAAACAATATCACTACCTCTTATCGTTGTACCAAGAATCTAAACCTCAAAAAAAAAAATTATTAGGAGACGATACAATCATTAAATGAAACAGCCCTTACAGTAGTTCTCTCTAGATAGTACCCATGAAACAAGGACCTGATGTAACAAAAAGATACGGATTAGTAATAGATTACCGTAAACTAAACGAAAAAACTTCAATTATTAGGTTACAAAAAAAATACAAACATTAAAAAAAACATACAATGTAATTGATACCTAATACACGCAATTTTATTTAACAACTTAATATCTACACTGCTTTACGATGAAAGCAGAAGTGTAAAATAATTGAATAATCATTACCCCAACAAAAAAAAGCGCTTACCTCTAAAACGATATTATAAAAACTCGTCTTATCAACTTGCGTCAATTCTCGATCAATCTGTTGTTGCCGAGGGTGGCAACAATCTAAGAAGGGGGGTGTTACATCTAGAGTTGATACAGACAAATCATATTATAAGTCAATACGCAATTCATTCGTAAAATTCATGCAAGACGTATTGCGTATATACAGTAAGATCATATGACAAGTGGAGCTCATACGTCACTTATATACGTGTGCGTGTGTAAGGCGAATGTTTCATAATATGCTGACATATATGACGGCCAGCCTTGTTGTGAGAATGTATGTATGTATCGAAATTATACGTAACATTTCTGAATGCATAAATCGTATTGTATGTATAAATGAATATTTTACTTGCACACTGATTGTCCATTTCTAATAATGTATACAAATTAAAAAATTGTAATTAACACGTTATTTTATTATACTCAAAATTGATTGAGAATGCTCCAAAACGATTAATTACGAAATTTTCAAACTTACTGTCACAATTGAACTTGTTTTTGACCTTCTTTTATTGTTGATTCGAGCTTTTATCATCACTGATCCAAAAAGCTTAATCGCACTTGTCAGAAAAATGCAATAGGTACTGTTGTATTGTTATTTCCTAATATATAAAATCATAATATGTATTATCTTCGTGCAAGCCTACTGTTTTTCTGTCAACCCAGACTGCAAGAATATCGCTCATTGGTTGACCAAGTTCAACCAAAAGCCTTTTTTACTCGCTCTGACGCTATAAAAACACAACATTAAGAGAACAAATTGCTCTTTTCACGTCTGTCACCTGTCCTCTAAAGTTTCTGTCTACTCTTGACTTCCGCGACTTGTGAGTACCTTAAATACGTAAGGCATAACATGTTTGCTGAGGCAACTTGGGTGGAATTCGAGAACATCAATAGTATCAGACTACACGAAGGAGCGAGGTGCAATGAAGGAGGCCCGCTGAAAATGGTTCCGGCAATAGCATAGAAAACTGAAACCGCAACATCTTACTGGCCACAAAATCATTCGTGCAGTTGAAAAAATCACTGAAAATTACTGCACAAAGCATCAGGGAACTCCGTAGCAGTAGTAACAAAAATCAGTGATAGATATAAGTTATTTGTTAGTAATATAATCAACACCAAAATCTTGTTAAAGTGATCGGACCAGATTGTGTTTAAAAGAATAACTTTTGTAAATTGTTTCAATAAAGGTATCAAATATTGAACATTAACTACTAGGCTCAAAAACAAAAATGCAGAGCTTCGTGCTGAACTTGAACAAGTTACAAATTTGCAGCAAATCGTGGAATCGTGGAACGAGCTTAAGATCAGTGGCTTGCCACGGTCTGGAAATATTAATGTTTGTGATTTTTTAAATAATTCTTTTGCACGGCTTTTATTGAAGCCTTTTGTTCTAAATATAGCTTAAACCAGACTTCATAATTATGCCCAGCCTTATGGCACGGCCAGTGTGAACATGAATGTATCCGACACATCAATTGTGACTTTTAAGTCTAGCGTGGCATAGGATTTCGACGAAAAAAATTTTCCCTGACGAAATGTAGTTGAAGGGCCCTGCCTCTCATTTACAATGCGATAATTTTATTCGTTTGTATGAGATGCTTACACCGGGTACTTTTGCGCCACTTATTAAAACATAGGTGAACGCTAAAGCACTTGGCTATGCCTAAGTTTAGGGAGAACCTGGCTCTGTATATGTTTAGCAAAGCCATGACTCGCCCTACCAGTGCATTTTCACGACAAATGATCTGGGTTCCTTGCAGTGACTTCTACTTAAGTGCCTGCTTACGTCCGCTGCACCTGCACCGATTCGAAGGTCAATTTGCGTTGCGCGTCTGAATGCTAATTTAATTTAGAATCACCTTGATGACATATAAATCCTTCTTGACGAATTTAAGATGGATATTTTGTGCATAACTAAAACCTGGCTGACCTCATTACAGTGTTCATCTTTATTCCAATTACCAGGCTTCGTACTAGTACGCAAAGATCGCGGATTGCTGGTGAGGCCCCCACCGTGGAGGCAGGCTTGCTTCAATGTGTACAGGGTGGTGGCGTGGCTTATAACTTGCGTTCAGATCTACATTTTTGAGTAATTGCGTCACCGCAAATTGGACACATAAACTCCACTGAATACCTTGTCAATGTGCATCAAGAAGGGGAAGGTGGGCATGGTTTGCTCCTTGCTTCAGTTTATCAATGGCCTAAGAGTGGAGTTCTCATAGATTTTTTTTAGGTAACGCAGAACGAGGTACTAGGATTTTCAAATGTGCTTGTTTCTGGGGACTTTTTTTTCTTTGATGGAGCAAGGAGGGGAAAATCTACATAGACACCCCAGCTATTCCTAAGGGATAGCTAGGCAGTGGCTCAGGAATACCAATGCCTGCACCGCAGTAAGCAAGCACCACAGGACTCGGTAATCATATCCAATGCTGCTTGAGGATAGGAAATCAGGAAAATTTCGATCCGTATTCATCCCGAAACACCCAAAAAGCCATTAACGCCAAAACACAGACGGGGGCCTACCTGAACCCCAGGAGAAGGTGTAGCTAATAAAAAACTAGCTGGGGTGTCTATGTAGATTGATAACATATGGAGTGGCTTTTCCTGAATTGGAACGAATCTTGGCATTCCGCAGGGCTCGGTCCTGGGTCTCTTGTAGTATTCCATGTACGCTAACGATTTATGTGACGTTATCTTTCCTTTGGGGATCCGGCACATCGTGTATGCTGACAACCTTCAAATTTATTATGACGTGCCTAAGGATGCACTTGAGGAGAGGGTGGCGATGATGGGGCATGTCACAAGCGATTGCAGATTGATTCTTTAGCTCAATATTGGGAAGACACAAGTCATTTTATTCGGCTGCATCAGAAGAGTGAACAAGCTCTATTTTCAAGATCTTCCCAGGGTTGATCTGGAGGTGGGAAAAAGGGAGCGTCTCCCTCCGGTGTTCTGATACCGTCACGAGTCTTGGGGTCGTTCTCGACCCTAAGATGACGTGGTGGCCATAGTCGTGGCGGTTGGGTTTTGAAAAAATTAAAATACTTTATTTTCGAAGTAAGCATTAAAAAGTAATAAAGTTGCGCTGAATAAACGCTAAATGAATCTTCTTTTTTTTTTTTTTTAATTTGACACTACAGTTTTAAAAATATTCGTATTCTATCTTTTTATGGTAAAAATTTGAGAGTAAAATAACTACGCTGTATTAACGCCCTTGACGCACGTAAGCTTTCTGTCTCATTTCATTTTCAATTGCTGATATGATATTCATGTTAAAAAAAAAAATTTTAATGAAATTATTTGTTAGTAAAATTTTTAGAGTCATTGACTCGTACTAAATAAAAGCCCATGACTTACGTAATTTTTTTTCTTTATTTCTTTAAAATTTTTGATATGTTACTTGTGTTTCGAAAAACATTAAATTAAATCCTTTCTTCGTGAAATCTTAAGACTGTAAGCTGCGTTGAAGACATGCACTTAACGCCCGTAATCTTTTTGCCTTCACTACTTTTTTTCTGTAGAACGTGATAATGATTAAAAAAATTTTAATATACATTGAGAGTACATTTTAAAAGAGTCACCCCTCTTTGATGCATAGTGCCCTGAGCGTTCTGTGATTAGATGGATTTGTCGATGTTTAAATTCACATTATCTTGATAAGTATACATCAAATCTAAATTTTTTAAAGAGCTTTTCGAAATCTTTTGACAAGCTCAATCTTGTAGTATAACTTCCTGGAGCAATATCAGAACATCTTGTATACATACAAGTCACTGTTCATGCGAATCAGCTACATGTTATGTTTTCATGTGTATCCATGTCATCTGTAGTATTGGTTTTGCCAGTCAATAATCATAACCTTATATTCTTAGTTCCTTAATCATACACTTTATTCCAAATAAACGATAGTGTGTACTATTCAAAATAGATCATTAGTGGCTTAGCATTATAAGGGTGAAAGAGAAAATAAAAAGGACATTCGCAAAGAAAAAATTTCTAAGCTCAGAAAAAACAGACTGTAGCTTTCAGTTTATCAGACTGTATTCAGACTGTAGATCAGTTCAAGAACGAAACGATCATCGTTAACAATGTATACAATAGTCCTAATTATTATGATTTTCGAAAATCGCTGCAATTGATGGATTCAACAAAACTTTTTTTGTATTTATAACATGATGGCAAAAGCAAAAAAAAAAATTGAGTGACAATTAAGGAAAAATAGTACTTAACGTACAAGAATTTTAAAAATAAATTATGGTGAAAGTTTTGCGAGAAATCTTCGTTATTCAAAATGCGATGAATGAAAAAAATGTGGTTTGTTCATTCTTTTAATTGTGATATGTTCTTTATGCCAAAAATAAATACATTTACTAAGATTTAATGAATTGTTTACGTTGTCATTAAAAATTTAATTTGTATTTAGCTAAGTGTGAATGTTTCCTGTGCTTATTTTAGAGAATATTAATTGAGTTAACAGAATTTTTTTATTATTAATTTTTTGTTTTTTAGGTATGACTGATGGAGTTTCAGGAGGAACATAAGTCAATGAGTTTTAACTCCTTTTGATGAGCCAGCATTACAAGCTTCGACATTTGAAAAGTATGAAAAAAGTGTTGAGGCAACCATGGAAGCTGTAGCGAGAGTATACTGCCACAAAATTATTAACCCTGAAAAACGTCTGACGTTGTAAGAGTGATATAATAATTTGGAGTAGGTGTATTTTATAAGTTAGAAATACTCAAGTGAATGTCAACTGCGTTTAATGATAATTTTTCTTAAACACTGAATTTGTTTTACTTCTCTTATGTTTTAGTTTATTAATTTTCTTCTTCAAATTCAAAAAGCCAAATATTTTTTTCGTCCATAAGGAACTGTCATACTGACTTTTTTGTTGTGATCTTCACAACGATAAATATCTCACAAATAATAAAATTTATCATAATGTACTATCTTTGATTATTTTAATAATGTATACACTATTTCTCTGTCTACTGTTTAACAACACTTAACAACTTTTTAGTGAGCCAAATAGTTTACCGTATAATTCATAGCACATTTCCATGATTTTATAATAGCTTAAAAAATCAACCAAAATAATGACATTAAAGTTTAACAGTCAATTAGAACTTGAGCTCTTAATTTTCGATGGCCACTTAATATGCCAAGATAGTACAAGAATTATTCATGATAAATATGAGCATCTAAAATTATGGAACGGAAAGGTATAAAAAAATTTTGATATTTTATAAGTTTTATTTTTTTGTCATCCACGACTTATGAGACGTATAAATTTAGGGTACAAAACAACAAAATATTAATGTTAAAATCAAAAATAGCATTAACTATAAAACTTCATTGAAAGTAATTGTTGTAAAAAAAGAAATGTTCTCGAGTCACATTGCATGTCATTAGAAACAAGGGACTGGTTACAACAATTCAGTGTTTTTGATTGGCAATTCTGAAAGTAGGATAATCTACTGAAATTTTACGTATAAATAATGGTGTAATTGTTATTTATTACTTAAGAACATGTGGTATTCAAGTATCCGATAAAGTATGGACAGTAATTAAATATTCCTTTGATTACGATTGTTTTAATTCACAAATTTTTTGAATATTTACATTGTTATTCGGATTTTTGAGTTAGTAGATAATAATTTATTTAATACTCATATGATTCTGTTAAAAAAAAGTTTTAAAAATGTATCTTATGTAAGTGTACTTTACGTTACAAACAATAACTGCAATGAAAGACGAGGTTTTAGCTGTATTTCAGTCTCTATTGTCCAAGTACATATATCTTACTTACTTACAAAGTATAGGAACCTCTCTTTGTATTAATTTCTCCATATTTTTTTTTATTTTTTTTGTTTTGTTCATTATTCAGTTACATCCATGTAATTTAAAAAAGATTAAACTTAATTTATTTAGCCTAACCAAACGTAACAGCTGATGTTGATCAACAACTGGTTGTTCAACACCTAGTAATTGAATGACCAAACGCTAGAAAAGTATTTATCTGGAGGTGGTCAGATACTTATAAAGTGATCTTACAGATAAAGCTAGTAGTTAACCACTACATTTTTATTAATATTAAATATATTGTACTGACTCTAACGGCAAAAAAAACTTTTTTCTTGAAAAGCTCTGAACTATATAAAAATTGACAAGTAAGATCATCGATTTGTCGTTAAATCCATAAATATACAAATGACTGGTCTAATTTGATGGATAAAACATTATTTTAAAAAAAGTAGCCAATATATAAAATTGATAATACATATTTTATTGATATAAATAGCTTAATACATATTTGTATTGGAAATCAGTTCTCATTGAAAAGTTTTTAAAAACTGTTAATGTTCGAAACTTGTAACTTGTAATTTCATTAAAAACCTAGATTATAAGTTTGTAATACAGACATACGAATCATTGAGTTTTTTTTACTTTGTTTACTTTTGCTTAATAATACCCATAAAAGAAGAACGAACTTATGACAGAACTTGTTGCTAACTTCAAAAATAAAAAGCATTTCTTTTTATTCTAGAAAATGCTAAAAGACATGCATAAAAACTTCTGTTCGTGTAAAACAAGTTTAATTAATGTGTTACGTCTTAGCTCTTTAACGTTACTTTATCATGCCAGTGTTTGAATGCAGCGTGCAGCGTGCAGCGCGCAGACAACAAATGTGTATGAAAAGGTCAAAAGCCAGTAAAGCTCCTGGTGTTTTGTTGATTTTTTGCCGGGACTGGGAGCACACCAGGTCGGGGAAAGGACGCTGGGCAATGAAGGGGTGCCGTAGTAGGTGTTAAAATAAAATGACACACAACACTGCACTTATTTTAAACAAAAATAAACACTACCAAATTACTTTATTCAAGCAAATGATAAAAGGTATTATATGATCTAGAAATCACTATTGAGCGTATTGGATCGAATCACTTGAAAATAGAATTGAAAAACAATCGCAGTAGATAAGAACTATTAAACTAGTTGTGAACAGAGAGGTAAGTAATCAAACTGAATTTACAGTGATGTTTAAATAACCGAAAAGAAAAAGATGGCAGAGTTATGCGCGGTATACGTGTAAGCAGCGTAACACGTGAAAAGGAGCTGCAGGAGCAAAGATGATGAAACACGTCTGTCGAGCGGCGTTGGCTCAGTGGTAAGCGTGCTTGTTACTGATACAACGCAGTTCTAGGGGTCGTGGGTTCTATTCCCGGTGAATGGCAGATTTTTTCAAAAACTTTTTTCATCGGAAAAAGTTCCTATGTAACCCTGGCTGTTTCGGGGCGGGTTTTTCCGTGGAATTTTCCTTCAGAGTAATTCCAGGGTTTTTTCCTTGCCCCACAGGTTTTCAGGCCTGGGTGAATGCGAAACAGTGTTAGAGCTATAGGTAGGGATTAGCGGACCCGATGCCAGGCGTCGGGCAGGGATCGCCGGCCTTACCGGCGAGGAGTGGCCCCTGAAACACGGGGCTTCTCCAGGGATGCTAATTAGCCTGGATCCGATGCTTCGGCAGAGAGCGCTGGATTAACTGGCGAGGAGTGGACGTCCTGGAATAATGGAGTCTTCTCCGGGGAAAGGCTACACAGTGGTGAGTGGACCTGATGCACCATCGGTGCAGAGAGTCTCAGCTTAACTGGCAAGGTGTTCCACCGGAGATACTCACACTGTGCCCATGGATTCAGCTAGGATGCGAGGAAAAAAGGTTTAGAGATGGGTGTGGCAATATACCCCCACACATAGGTGGTGAGTGGGTGGCCCCCACGACTAGGCCAAGTAGGCTGTCGTGGTAACCCGGTATGAAAGAAAAAAAAAAGAAACACGTCTGTCCGCTAGCCATCTACGAAGGAGATTCTTCCGCACATCGCGTGTATCAGTGCACACGTTGCGCAGAGCTACACTCTCACCCATGCATACACACACGCATACATCTAGTCCTATAGTCACACGCTAGAGACTCCTAAATACAATTCAGTTAGCTAAGGCGGTCTATATTTTGTTTAATGCGCCCAATAAAACCCGATAAAGACCTTGAATTTGAAACATTCCCCTGGGTTGGTATGTCTGAGTATAATGACTGAAAGACAGACTTAGTAGAAGATAACGAAAAATTAAACTTAATAACAGTTACAAACAAAAATAATAATTATGTTAGTCACTCCAATATACAAATCCCCTGGGTATAGGCGAGGGCATTTTCTTTAACGGGCAGCACACCAAGTATGTGATTTGTTTTTAGTGTTATATCTAACTACATAATAAAAAAAATAATAATTGTAAAATGTAATCAAGGAAGCCCATATTATTATCACCCTTTCATAAACTTATGAGAATATGTGGATTTAAAAGATTTAAAGACCGCTGTCCTTTTACAAATAACGAAGCTTGCTAACTATTAACATCAAACTACTTGGCCGGTAGAACTAGCACGAGCTTGACCACTGGTCGAGTGAGAGTAGAGGTAGCGGTACGGACTTCGACAACTCTAACAGATTCATTCGATCCTGCAAATACCTGAGTCACCCGGCCTAAAGACGAATGAGAAGGTGGAGTATTCTCTTGGAGAATTAGTACTAGATCATTGACTAGAACTGCTCTTTGTTTGAAAATCCACTTTTGTTGAACTTGTAATGACACAAGATACTCATTAACCCATCTCTTCCAAAAATGTTAGAGACAGGATGAAATGAATTTCCATCGTCGTAACGGGTTAAATTCTTCTCTTTTAAATTGAGGTTCGGGGGTTAGGAAGGCAGGTTTGTAGCTCAGGAAGTGGGCAGGCGTGAGTACTTCTAAATCAAAAGGGTCATCTGATTGTGGAACTAGGGGGCGAGAATTCAAACACGCCTCTATTTTGCATAAGAGAGTGGAAAATTCTACGAAGGTGAGCACCTGGTCGCCGACAACTTGTTTTAACAACCATTTAGCTGATTTAACAGCGGCTTCCCACAAACCACCGAAGTGGGACGCAGAAGGTGGGTTGAAATGACAATTGGTTCCAGCTTTTAGCAATTTATTGCTGAGGTTGTATGACCTTAAAAACTGGCAGAGCGTCTCCTTTAATACGGAAGATGCACCTACAAAATTGGTACCCCTATCACTGTATAAGTGTGAGCAGTACCCTCGCCTGGATATAAACCGACTGAAAGCAGCAAGAAAGGCCTCAGAAGAGTAGTCTTCCGCCACTTCAAAGTGTACTGCTCGAGTGACCATACAAATAAAAACACAAATGAACCCTTTCTGAGTTCCCTTTCCTCTCGATTTGGTCAATCGGATAGCGTAGGGACCCGCGTAGTCCACACCCGTTTTAGTAAACGCTGGACACTCCAGTATTCTGGATGATGGTAAATCTCCCATTATTAGAATTTGTACATGCGGTTTGGCATTATACCGAATACAAGGGATACATTTGAAGATTTTATTACAAACTACTTGACGCCCTCGCACAATCCAGTAGGTTTGGCAAATAGATGTCAAAGTAAGAAGAGTGCCACCATGTAAAACTAAGTTATGATGATAATTAATAATCAAGTCAGTCAGATAATCTTTGGGAGCAAGAATTAAAGGGTGCTTAGTTTGGCTAGGGATCGAAGCCTTTCCAAGTCTTTCCCCTACTCTAATCACTCCATCGACAAGAACAGGATTCAGCTTGGCGATGCTGCTGCTTCTGTTTAATGGAACCTACTTGGATTCAGATAAGGACGAGTTTTTTAAAAGTATACGGTGTTCGTGCGGAAAGCGGAACATCTGATGAACACGAACCTAAACTAATCGAGCATTGTCCAGTTCTGATAATGTTAAACAATGGCTATCTGACCTTAAAGTATCGGATGAATCCAGAAAAGACAACTCTTGTGACGTCAAAATTTCAACGTCATTACGTTTAGCAGACTTTATTCGATTTGAAGTACGTTGGCATTTGAAAATTAACCTAAATATAAACCTTAGGCAGTAACTTGTAACCTTGAGTAATTGATGCCAATTACTGTAAGCGGAGTAAGTGTCTGGTAACTTATCTTGGCATTTTAATGCATTTACAGAAAGCATTTCATTCAGAACAGTGTCTTCACCTTCAGGAGAATTTTTAGGTGAAATGTCGGAAAAAACGATTTCACTAACCCCCAAAAAATCGGGCCCTTCAAACCAAAGTATCTGACCAATAAGTTACTTGGGCAGAACCCCGCGAGAGGCAAGATCTGCCGGATTCTCTTTAGTTTTGACATGATGCCAATAGGTTGTAGGTGTCAAGGTTTGAATTTAAGAATACCTATTAGCAACGAAGGTAGGCCACTTAGATGGAATTGACTTTATCCAACACAAAGTGTCCATAGAGTCGGTGTATAGGTGAATAGCCGAAGCCTGAACCTTTGTAGTTGAGACATGATGATTCACTAGCTTCGAAAGTAAGTAAGCACCACACAGCTCGAGACGAGGAATGCTGAGCGTCTTTAGTGGTGCCACCTTGGTTTTAGATATTTCTAATGAAGTAAAAACCATGTCTGTTGTAAGTGTACTAAGATAGAGAACCGCAGCATAAGCTCGTTTAGAAGCATCAGCAAAGCCGTGGATTTCTATTATCGGGTCAACGGGTTGGAAATGATTCCAACGCGGAATTCTAATCTGATCCAAGATTTGGGCTTCATTGATCCACTAACTCCATTCCTTCAAAAAATTAGAAGAAAGTTTCTCATCCCATGGTACCTTCAGCAACCATAATTCTTGTAGTAACATTTTAGCTTTAATAATTAGTGGAGAAATCCAACCAAGTGGGTCAAAAAATTTGGCTAACTGAGAAAGCACACTGCGTTTAGTCCAAATTGGATAAGAAGATGGTAAGTTGACCTTAAAACTGAAACTATCGAGATCGGAGTTCCAGTTAAGACCCAAAACTGATATGACCTCATGGTCATCTTGCAGTTTAAGCGGATTGGAAGAATGAAATTCTTTAGGGATCTCGGCTAATATCTCTTTGGAGTTGCTTGACCATTTTCGTAACTTGAAACCGCCTAGCTTGGTCAGAACATCCAGCTGTTCTACCTTTTGCTTAGCTTCTGTGAGTGTATCAGTACCCGATATGAAGTCGTCCATGTTTATTTCAGTATTCAAAATCTCTGCTCCAAGAGGAAGAGTATCATGGTAAAGGACAGCTAATTCTTTCAATACCCAAGAGGCAAAAAAGGGTGAAGAAACTAAGCCGTAAGTAACGGTATTGAGCTGGTAAGTAGATAGAGGTTGCGAAGGGTCTTCTCTCCAAAGGATAGCCTGAAAGGATCGATCTGCCGATTGAACATTCACCTGACGAAACATTTTCTCTGCGTCAGTGGAAAAGACGAACCGATAGAATCTCCATTTCATTACAAGATCAAATCACGTAGCTAAGAGGTTTTGTCCCTGATATTGAAAAGAGTTCAACGAAACACCCGATTTTGTGAATGCTGAACCATTAAAAATTACACGCAATTTAGGTGACGATCCTGAAAGGTTTAGAACTCCATGATGCGGGAGGTACCAAATTGTCGAGTTTTGGTCAGCTAAACACATATGGTTCAAATCGATGTACTCTTGTATGAACTCCCTGTACAATTCGATAAATTTTTGGCTCAGTTTGGACTTAGATTCAAGACGAAGAAGCATGGCACGAGCTAACTAGAAAGACTCTTCCCACGAAGCTACCAAAACGTCTGTAGAATCCTTGAAGGGCAGGGACACTGTGAAGCGCCCTGCTTCATCTCGAGTGTAGTTTTCGACGAACATTTTTTCGCATATCTGCTCATCTTTAGTAAGGATAATCTTACAGCTCAGAGGCTCTTCTACCTGCCAGAACTTCTGCAACAAATTGCTAACATTATCTTCGTGACAAATATACAGAGATACGACTTGATTTTGGACCGTACTGAGAGAGCTTATAGCACCTGATAGAAGCCAACCGATTGATGATTTTACAGCAGTGGGGTAGTTAGGACCTTTCTTTATTATGGGTCCCTCGATAATAGTCGCGTAAGTCACAGCATCAAGAAGGAGATCAACGGGATCTTTGTTCAAGATGTACGGATCAGCTAATTGAATGCCTTTAAAACAATCCAATTGCCCTCTTTGACTAATGACAGGCGGAAGGTAAGAGGACACTCTGTTTACAAGAGCGCTAGTTTCCAAAGAGAATTTGGACTCAAAGTGCGGCTTAATTTTGAACGTAACCAATTGGGTAGCATTTGCGTAGACTACTCCTCCAAGTCCCGTCAAAACAGCACTAGTTTTTTGAGGCTTTAAACCTAACATCTGGACAAGTGATCTAGATATAAGCGATGCTTGAGAGCACGGGTCAATGAGTGCTCAGACTGTTAGAACTTTACCCGACGGAGAGACGACTTGGATTCTCGCAGTAGCCAATAACACAGTATTGGAGCAACAAGCAGAACTAGTATCTAAAATGACTTTAGCATCAGGAGCCTTGTCAGCTTTGGTGATGTTTTTTGGGTCAACACCTTTTTCTTGAGATTGAGAAGAACTGATATCTGTATGCATCAGAGTATGATGCTTTGGTTGGCAGAAGGCGCAAAGAGTGATAGAACGACAATCCCCGAACTTGTGCGGACCAAGACAGTTGAGGCATAGTTTCGCCTTGGATTGAATAGATTTTTTAATTGGCCATGGCTTGGACTTAAAAATCTCACATAATCGAACATGGTTTTCGCCATTACAGCAAGGGCATACAAGGTTTGTGGACGTAGTCTGATGAGACGAAGAAACAAATGAACAAATCTCCTGAACCGTGTTCAGCGCGCTCAAGGTTATCTTAAGCTGCAAGAGGCCTAAGAGTTTGGCTAATCAGCTGTTTGAGCTCAACAGAGGAGCTATTCTTCATAGATGGAGCGTTGAGTATCGAGTTTACATAGCTGGAAACTAACCTCCTTTTATTATCGTAGTAGTCAACTAGAGTTGTCCAAGCCTGATTATAATTTTCCGACGTAAGTGGAATATTTTTTATCAAATCTGCAGCTTCACCCTTGACTTGGGTCCACAGGAAATGATGTTTCATTGTCAGAGAAATTTCAGCTTTGCTATGAACCAAAGCTTTAAGAACATCATGGAAATGAGGCCAATCGTCTCTACTTCCCGAAAATTGTGGAAGATCGACCCGAGGAAGGCTCGAATACGAAGAAACTGGATCGCTACCCCTAGGAGGGTCATGAGAAACAATATCAACTCTGATACAATCAATAAAATCGGTGAAATCCCCTAAATTTAAGTTATATTGCTCTTCACCCCTAGGATACACGTCCTCCTTCAGATAAGGGTGATCCTTTGTGATAGGGGGGTCCTGGCTCCAGGTTAGACTATGAGTAGATTGAAATTCAGAAAAGGCATCGTCCAATTGTTTAAGCCGAGCGGTCGCCTGCCCGCAAGTCATCTTGGCTTTGCCTAACTTCTTAAAATTTTCGTAAGAATTCCTAATCTTATTAAATGTTGCATACTGAGCTGAAGTAAGAGCTTCCATTTCGAATTTGTTTACAGGAGTGCGAGTGAAAAAAAAAGAACTGACGGAAAGAAAAAAGAGAACTAGAAACAGAAAATATCAAGGTGCGGAAACAAAAACCTAATCTGAAGGTGGGGACTATTTCCCTTTCCCCTTTCTTTTTCGATTTACCTCTATCCTCAGTTAACCAGCAGCCTTGCCACCATTTATAACCCAAAACCTTCTTTCACTTCTTAAACCACGGATGGTTTTACTTTATTGACGTGTTGCACTTATCTCTAAAACAAAATAAAGTACAGTTGACAAACCGAACTTTTACATGAAAAGGAAAGGTTCTAAAAATCAAAACCGATATAATTGTACTTATTAAATACGAACGGTGTACTCCGTGAATCAGCAGCTAGCAAACAACAGCGGTGACATGGACAGGACCCGTACCAGCATGTAGAAGCAGTAGCGCTGACAGTATGTAAGCTGCACTGATGTCAGCGGTGGCAGCACAACGAGGGCGGAGGCCTGCACCAGCAGGCTGCAGCAAAGGTGTAGATGCCGTAGGTGCGCTCACAGAGGCGGAGGTCTGCACCAACAGGTTGCAGCGATGGTAGTGACACCCTAGGTGTATGTTTGATCGTAGATGTATGTGAGTGTGTGTCTAGAACGGGACGAGTGGAGTAAGTACAATGTTAACTCGGTTACTGTCAATAAACACGCAAAACAAGAAAAAAAAGGTGCTTATGTTACATGAGACTTAAGCATTTAGATTAATGCTTACAGAGAGATGTAAGAGAAAATATAAGTGCAGAGAGTGCGTGTGTGTGTGCATAGGGCACAACACAGCAGCCGCACTGCAAGAGAGACTGCGTGCTCGAAAGCAAGTGCAGAG